CCTGTTGGGGTATGACAAAATATGAGTTTTTACGTTCCAAAAAGAAACTATTCAAGTACGGACGCAAGTCTGTCAGACAATCTACATCCACACAAAAAGGGAATGACCCTATACAAGCGTAATATTGTTGTTGTGTACGATGCAGTAGGGAATAATACAAGATGTCCCCAAAGTGCTGCATTCAACACAGAATTGTTGTAGAGGTCGAATCAAGTTCTGTAAATCGGTTACTCTGTTACTAATCATATCAACACTCGTAAGAAACAACTAGGCCCCTGTGACCAAGGAGCCAATGGTGGAATTGCTGGTGATGATGTCATCATCCTGTCAAAGACAAACCGTTCTGTCGATTCCAAGGCATAGATAACCATCAAGTGACGGATGTGTCCATTGTAACTTCAGCTGGATACACTGACACACAGCGCGGTCCCACTATTTTTATCATGAACCAGTTTGCATCAATTCATAAAAGACAGTCCATCCTCTCCAGCCCACAGATGGAGCACTTTAGCATTGAGGTAGACGACCAATCACCCAAGGTAGGAGGCAAACAGCGACTCTCTACTCCAGATGGTTGGGTCATTCCTATGGAGATTGTCAATGGACTTCCACACGTCCGTATGAGACCACCAACAAAATGTGAACTTGAGACACTACCACACATTGTCTTAACTTCTGACAAGGACTGGGATCCTAGCGTACTGGATTCCAAGCTGGAAGACTTTGAGAAATGGGCCGAATCCATCCCTGACAATGGATCTGAAGAAGGCGACAGACCTTTTGATCGAGTCAGTATCCTTAAGAGTAATAAGACTGTCACTACTCTCAAGGATGAATCTCTATTGGACCAGGCTCTTGATTTCTTTGAATCGTTTGACTACTTTGCACCAACTGACGGACTATTCAAGGTTTACGAACGTCCAGATACTGATACGGATTGGTTTGGCTGTAATATGGCCGACTTATTCCGTCCAGATTCTTACTTTGACGACCCTCCAAACCTGGCAGCGTTTGAAGTCAATCAGTCACATAGGCGACCAAGTATTCTATTTGCTCCTGAAGCTCCTATCGATTTTGACATTGAAACGGGGCCATTGCTTGCCAAAGATGATTTTCGAGATCTTGCACCTGGTTTACCAAAGGATATGCTTACTCTTAACGTACTTCCTATAGTAATGGTAATCGCAATGGGGAGAGAACTGATAATGGCCCTCCGCCACAAACCAAGCAAGAACACGAACCTCTGCTACCAACTACTACAGAGTATAAGAAGTCTCATGAACGCGATTGGGAGCGACTGTGACGATACTTTGCATGGTTGCCTAAGCTGGTAATTCAGAAAACTTTTGATTGTACCACTCAGTTGGCTTGCATTCCCATGAGTGCCCATCTTCAACGTCACTACCGTTCACCGTTCACCGTTCCCAGCGCTTAGTGTCAATAGACATAATGAAAGTTTAGCAACCAATACCGTCTATGCTGACATGCCAGACATTGAACATGGACATGTGTCAGCCCAGTTCTATCTGGGACTATCCTCTCTTGTTAGCAACGTCTATGTTGTCACTTTGGATGCTCAATTCCTACAGACATTACAGGACAACATACGGAAGAGAGGAGCACCATTCAAACTTGTAAGCGATCAGGCTCAAGCACAAGTTTCCAAAGCAGTGAAAGACTACCTCCGTTGGCTATGCATTGATGACTGGCAAAGCGAAATCCGCTCTGCCTCAACCGACACTGATCCCAATAAACGTCTTCATACATCTGATGGGGAGGACTTGTCAGCCCCTACAATAATCAAATCCAGAAACGATAAGTCTAAAGTTCAAACCGTTGTTTATTCCAGTGACGACAAATCAGACTCTGAAGACGTTATTGTGGAAAACAGTGACCTCATTGGTCGAACATTCCTTCTTAAACCAGATAAAGAAGACTACGTCAGACGTGCTGAGATTGTTGAGCTTATTGACAAGCATGAGCACAACACGACCAACAAGCCTGAACATATTCCTTTTTGTGTGAGCAGTAACAAAGGTGAATACAATGATATCATGGCATACAATGAGATCCTAGAGCGTTTGGAAGCCGATATGGAGAACCCAATAGTTTGGAAGTTCAAGCAAATTGTTTCCCATCAAGGACCACTTTGACCTGACCATCCATCCTACATGGGTTTGACCTAAAATGTAACCATTGAATGGGAGAATGGGGAGATCACTCCCAAACCACTGAGCATCATTGGAGCCGATGACCCAGTGGCATGTGCTATATACGCTAGAGAGAACAATCTACTGGGTTTACCTGATAGGAATCGCTTTAGAAGTATAGCAAAGAAGGAGAAGAATTTTATTTGCCTTATTAACCAAGCCAAGCTCAGAACCTTCCGTACAGCACCAAGATACATGTACAGATTCGAGATCCCAAAGGACTACAAAGATGCCCTTCGACTTGACAAACTCCACGGTAACACCAAATGGCAGGATGCCACTAAAGTCGAGATGGATCAGCTTGCCGAGTACAAGGTCTTCATTGATTTGGGGAGGGGAACCCCAATACCAAAAGGATACCAAAAGATTTGAGTCCACTTAGTCTACGCCTGCAAATGTGATGGCAGACATAAAGCAAGACTTGTAGCTGACGGACACCTGACCAATGTACCACTGGATAGTGTCTACTCTGGTGTCTTTCAATTTGAGGCTTGAAGATGATGACTTTTCTAGCTGAACTGAATGGACTGGAACTATGGGCTACCAATATTGGTAACGCCTACCTAGAAGCCTACACTAAGGAGAAGGTAGCAATTGTAGTTGGACCAGAGTTTGGACCACTTCAAGGTCACACTCTTATTGTGTCAAGAGCTTTGTACGGATTACGTTTGAGTGAAAAAATGTGGCATCAGAGGTTTTCAGCATGTCTAGAGGAAGAAGGATTCTTTCCTTGCAAGGCAGAGCCAGATATTTGGATGAGACCAACTGCTGACGGATCCTCCTACGAGTATGTGGGAGTGTATGTTGACAACCTTGCAATGGCAATGAAAGACCCACAAGCTTTTGTAGACAAACTGATCAAAGTCTACAAGTTCAAGCTGAAGGGCACAGGACCACTTGAGTTCCACCTTGGATGTGACTTCTACAGGGACGAGCATGGGGTACTTTGCATGCACCCAAAGAAGTACATTGACCGCCACTACGGTTTCGGAGAAACATTGAGCTGGAGGGCTGGCGCGCTAAGTCTTCATCTCAATGTTTCTCCAACAACAACTTTGACTATGAAGGGACTTCATCAGCACAACAACTTGTCACAAATCTTTGGCCCAACCCAGGAAAATTTGAACTTGTTTTCAATTTCTTCAGGCTTTAGTTGATACCTTAGCTTCAACAAACAGCATGACAATGATCTATTTTTATCAGTATATGCAATTTGATAGATTCTATTGTCGTAAACAACACAATGCCATGAACTATTGCTCCAAACATCTGCTTGTTGCTCCAATACCACCCAAAATCAACAGTAAAAAAAAGAAAATCTTCTAAACAAGCTCCGTGAATTTGCTGAAACCCCAAGAGGGAAAGAAGAAGTCGATAACCTTCTTGCAAAAGTCCAAGACCACAAGTTTCGCTGTTGTACAAGGGCAATTCTGTCCTTGACAGTCGTCGACCAAGAATCTATCCGCTTGCAACATCATGCTATTCAATTGAAGACTGAGATACATCGCAAGGAGTTGGATGACTTGATTTTGAATCAAAAGAGCTACAAAGATTTCCTAAAAGCTTTCTTTGAAAAAATAAATGTGAAACATTTTGCATGGAATGGCTTGGAAAGAGGAAATGCCAGCAGTTTTCAAAAGTTTTCATCCTTTCAACAATTAATCTTTGCCTGGCAGCACGAGATAAGGTATTGTTGGGTGATGTTGGAGAAGGAGTGAGAATGCGCTAAGAACCCAGAAAAAGAAGATCTTGAAGCGTTTCAAAGACTTTGTAGAAAGAAGTACTACAACACTGTCAAACATTGTTCCAGTGGCTGACGATGTCCCTACTTGCAGTTCTGCCCTTTTCCCCTATCCGCAGGTCATTTGCAGCCTTCCAATCCGGAGCTTTGTCTTCCGCAGATGTTGAATTACAATAAGCCAGACAATCAAGACGTCAATCAAGAATCTCCGACAAGTGGTACACCTTTATGCCATCAGAAAAAGCTTTGAAAAGCAGCTGTCGAAGAGTTACTACATGCAGAAAGACGAAGTGAGGGAAATGAATAAGTCGGAGACCAATTGGAGCCAGTGGATCTCCATACCAGCGACGCTGGTTTCAACAAAGGCGCTGGCGACAGTAGCAGCAAAGCACGGCAGTTCTTCTCCTCATCTAAGCCAATGAAGAAAATACGGCAATTCTTCTCCCCATCTAAGGAAGACAGTCCAAACTCGGGGCAAAGTGGCCCAGCCATCAAAAGAGGAAATTTCAATCAGATTGCTACTGCAAAGGATGCAGTTTTGGGCATTTTCAGAGATGTTGGGGCCTACTTTACCTTTGTTTGCCACCAGACGAGTTAGTTATTGGCATACTAATGAGGATATGGTGCCATTGTTATTTCTTACTGTATCTAATTAGTTTCTGAGAAAACAATTTGATAAATCCCTACTAACCCAAACAAGGAATGGTGTATTGTAGCGTTTGACAAGATATTATTATCGCGGTATTAGTTTTGCAAGATATTTTGCAGAAGTCGACTCATACGAACGAAAGGCAAGCCATATCGCGCCGGCATGTCACTTTGTGTCAATGTCAGATTTCCCTAGCGCAAAACCGTAGTGCGCATGGTAGATAGCTATCAACGCATGTTTGGTCAAAAGCCAAAGACCAACATGTGGTCACCATTGGAGAAGGGAGATCATCCAGAATGCGATACATCTGAGCTACTTGACTCTGATGGAGTCACTCAGTATCAATTGTTGATTGGTCAGTTCCAATGGGCAGTCTCTTTAGGAAGACTGGATGTCACTACCGCGGTAATGACTCTGTCTACTTTTAGATCAGCACCCAGAGTTGGTCATTTGAACCGCGCAAAGCGGGTTTGTGGCTACCTAGTGAAGTTCAAGGAAGCTTGTATCCGTTTCTGCACTGGACTACCTAATTACAGTGATGTCCCAGAACCTGTATTTGATTGGGCCAACTCTGTACAGGGCTGTTTAACTGAAGAGATTCCAAGCAATGCACCCCCACCACTTGGGCTTGCAGTCATCATCACTCACTACGTGGATGCAAATCTCTACCACTGTCAAGACAGGCCGGTCGGTTACGGGTATAATTTACATGATGAATGGGACTCCAATCGATTTCTTTTCAAAGAAAAAGTCAACCGTTGAGACTGCTACTTATGGTTCTGAGTTTGTAGCTGCCCGAACTTGTGTTGAACAGATCATGGACCTTCAACAGACCTTGAGATACCTTGGTGTGCCAATCAAAGCTACATGTTTGATGATAATGAATCTGTTGTGATCAGTTCTTCCCAACCTGAAGCTAAGCTACACAAGCGGCATGTTGCATTATCATTCCACCGTGTTGAGAGAAGCAGTAGCATCCAACATGTTATCTTTTATCCACATTAACGGTGCTTTCAACCCCGCTGATATTCTCAGCAAGCATTGGGGCCTGACAGAAATAAATGAAAATAGACTATAAGCCTATAGTTGACTAGTTTCTACGAGATGATGGATATCAATTCAGGTAAAAAGCATGCAGTGAGAAAAGCGATGATCCATCACTTTTCCACGCGAATCCTATGATTTGTCAGAGAAC